CCCCTCACCCCCGCCACAGCCACCCCCTCGTATTTCTCTGGCCTCACCTCCCATCACCCCACGCATCCCCTCCCCACAAAGCACCCTCAGCACCCTGCTCGGTGCCCCCCATCACTGCCGCAAGCACCCCAGGCTGGACTCTGCCCACCCTCTCCGGAGGCCCCCACAGCCCTCCAGCCTCCCCCTGGGTACCCCGCCTCCCCTGTCAGCCTGGGGATGGCGCCTTCCTCACAAGGCTACCACGCAGCCTTCCCCCCTACCCCTTGGTCCTGCCACCGGGAGGGTGGGCGCCCAGTGCCAGTGACTTCTCAGGACCCTGGAGACTTCCCCTCCAGCTCCGGCCCCTACCTCAGCCTCTTCCATCCCACCCTGGTAATCACCACCCCCCTCTAATTATGACCCCATCCCAGCTTGACGATCACTTGTTTTCTTCGTCCTGCCCTTATGGCTTGATTCCCCCCAAAATCCCACTCTGTTCTGTTTTGATCCCAGCATTTCCTGTTCCTATCTGCCTTTTCTTGCCATTTCTCTTAAATTTTGTGGGGTTTCTACTTTAGTATTTTTCAACAAGAGGAAGAAGGAATTTTCCCTTCGTAGAATTATAAAAACAAACAAACTTTAAATATTGAACCTGTGCCATGAGAGCTGGGTTTGATGAGATGAGGGAAGAGACTCACCAGAAATATTCCCCGAGGGAGGAAGAGGACGCCTTTTTCTGATGAGAATAAAAGCTATCCTCACATAAGGCCAAAGCTATTCACAGTTTCCAAGTATGAATATTTTAAAGCTCAGTGAAAAGGACGGTCTCAAAAATCCCTTTGCTGAAGACTCTGAGTCACCTCCTCTTTCCCAAGCCCCAGCCCACACTGATATATATGGGTTGGATTGAGAAGTTCCCTTAAAGGGGCTTCTTCTTCCTCTTATAGGACCAGCGTCAAAAATCAAGATAGAAAGAAGAGGAGAAAGAAAGAATTGCAGATTTCTAGCTGGTCCTGAGGAAACAGCACCGCGTGGTTGCCAAGCCTCCTGGTTATTGAAACATGTAATTTCTTTCTCTTGATTCTGTAGAGCTGAGGGCTTAATCATTTGGCTCTGTTCCAAAGAGTAGGATCAGTGATAACTACTGCTCACTAATTATTTATAAACTATAGGGTACTGCAAGCTAAAGAGTACTATGTGATATAAGTGGCAGATACAACATAAATGCCAGGTAGGGTGGGGAGTGCGTGGTTTTGGATCAACAAAAATGTGCTCTTTTCTGCCCTGGCAACAATATTTGCCTGCTTTGTAGCAGGGGAAAATGAAACCTAGCAACTGATTAAGTAACTTGGCTCAAGGCATAAACCAAACAGTAATTTTGAATGGGAGTTGATGACATTCTCTCTATCCCAAGAAAGTGCCAGTGTAAAGGGAAGGGGAACACGATCACTTGAAATCAGCTAGATTGTGAATTTCATGTTTTAGTTCATAATTGGGCATTCACAGAGTTGAGCACGTGTGCTCTTGTTTAAACTCTGCATTTAACTCTTAGTTAACAGATCATTAAAATGTCACTAGAAGCAGAAGAGCTAGCTTGAAGGTGTTTGGTTTTTTTGCTGCTAGATACAGTGCTGTGTTTTAAGGACACTGGTAACTCTCAACGTTTATAGTTTTCCAAATAACAGAAAGTAACACGAATGTGGAGAAATTCAGGTGACTCTGATATGGAAGACAGAAGACCTCATCTGGAGGCCAGGCCCAGAAATTCCTATACCAGCCACAGAGGTAAGCAAGGTTTCCTACCCAACAACAAGGAAATTCTAGTGGTAAAAGAAGAAAATCATGCTCTTTCTGAATGAGCAGGCCTACATAAGAGTGCCTGCGTCTTCCACGTAATAAGTGACTTATTTCTTAGAGCATGGATGACTCTGAAAAGCTGACAGCCCTCCACTTCCCCTAAGAGAGAGCTAATGAATGAGTCCGATTTACTTTAGCAAAAACATGATGGGCTGAAATGAAGTGAGTACTCATTGCTGATCATGAAAAAATTTTAAAAAACAGTGATGGGGTTTCAGAAATGGAAATAACTCTTCATGTAGAACACTATTCAGTAGAAGCATAATGTAAGCCAAAAGGGTAACTTTATTTTCTAGTAACATTTTAAAAGGTAAGAAGACACACCTCATCAACCAGGGTACCTGCATAATGAACATTTGTATACCTAAACCTGAATTATACCCCACATCTTTAAAAAAAAAAAAATGAAAAGTTTAAAATGAATGAATAAAAGATAAGAAGAAATAATGAAATTTTAAAAAATTTGATAGTGATTTAATAAAATTTAATAATGTCTTAAACTCAATATAACTAAAATATTGTCATTTTGTAATTATTGAATATTGTTTGTTATATTTTTATAGCCGGGCTCGGTGGCTCAGCTTGTAATCCCGCGCCTTGGGAGGCTGAGGTGAGTGGATTGCCTGAGCCCGCGGGTTCGAGACCCGCCTGGGCAACTTGGCGAGACCTCATCTCTACAATAAATCAAAAAAATTAGCCGGGTGTGGTACCTGTAGTTCCAGCTACTTGGAAGGCTGAGGTGGAAGGATCGCCGGAGCCCAGCAGGTCGAGGCTGCGGTGGCTGGAAGCGTGTCACTGCACTCCAGCTTGGGTGACAGTATGAGACTCCAACTCAAAAAAAAAATTTTATATTTTTAATAATTTTAATTTCTTTCCAAAGACTCAAGTATTATCATTTTAATATGTTATTAGCATAAAACATTTTTAGTGAGGTAACTTCTTTTGGTTCTACTCTTCAAAATTCCACATGTGTTTTAGACATCTTAATTCGGACTAGCCACGTGTAGCTAGTGGCTGTGAATTTGATAGTGCAGATCTTGAGTCACCAGAGCAGTTAGTTCCAAGATCATCAGTTTACCAAAGGAATTGTTGTGTTTGTTCTGAACTTTCTAAAACAAAACAACCAAATGGATTTCTGCCCTAAGTTTGCAATGCGTCTTTTGAGTCTAGCTGTGGAACAAGTGAGGATTGGGATTTTATTTTATTTTATTTTATTTATTTATTTTTTTTTGAGTTGGAGTCTCACTCTGTCGCCCAGACTGGAGTGCAGTGGCCACTCCCAGCCACCGCAGCCTCGACCTGCTGGGCTCTGGCGATCCTTCTACCTCAGCCTTCCAAGTAGTCGAAATTACAGGCACGCGCTACCATGCCCGGCTGATTTTTTTTGATTTATTGTAGAGATGAGGTCTCGCTGCCCAGGTGGGTCTCGAACCCGTGGGCTCAGGCAATCCACTCACCTCAGCCTCCCAAAGGCGTGGGATTACAGGCTGAGCCAACAAGCCCGGCTGGGATTTTATTTTATGAACTGTGTGAAGGTGGAAAAGAGTAAGTCATGATATAATTTTCCATTCCTCCAAGACGTAGAATGTTCTAATCAGATCAGAATATTAAAAGGAGGACTTCTGATATTCCGGAAGTTTGAACAGTAACTATAAAAGTAACAATTAATCCGGGCTTGGTGGCTCAGCCTGTAATCCCGCGCCTTTGGGAGGCTGCGGTGAGTGGATTGCCTGAGCCCGTGGGTTCGAGACCCGCCTGGGCAACTTGGCGAGAACTCATCTCTACAATAAATCAAAATGAGCCGGGCGTGGTAGCGCACGCCTGTATTTCCAGCTACTTGGAAGGCTGAGGCGGAAGGATCCCTGGAGCCCACGGAGCCCACCAGGTCGAGGCTGCAGTGGCCGGGAGCGGCCACTGCACTTCAGTCTGGGTGACAGAGTGAGACTCCAACTCAAAAAAATAAAAAATAAAAAATAAATAAAAATAAATAAAAGTAACAATTATAAAAATTTAGAGTTTAGTTATACAGAATTGATATTTTATCAGATATTTATGGTAAAGTATCTTTTTACTAAATATAGTATATGTCTTTTACCATGCAGACATTTATGGTAAAATGCCTTTATGTTGTCGCATTAAACTTTTCTCTACAAAGTGCAGAACAAAGAAAAATGTACATAAGTGGATTTAGCATCTGATGTCATGAAATATGGTGTGATCATCTCAAATATAATGTGTATTTTATTAAGTTTTCATAACTTTTAAAAAATGAGTTCATTGTATACAGCCTTATTTCATTTGTTTTAAAAATCTCTGTGTCACTCTGCTAAGTTGAGTCAGCTCTAGAATCAGTTTTAGCAAAAAGAAAAGTGAAAAAAACTGGACTTTGGGTATGTTGGGCAAGGTCACTTTTATGAAATGTATGACAGATCAAGGAAGACATGTTTGTTTGGCTTCATCAACGGAGATGTCAGCCCTCCTGTGTGTAAGAATGTGTAATAGGCACGTTCTTCTCACCATTCCCCTCACCCCTCTCGTTTCCTGTATGAGTGTTGGTAATTAACAAGTACCCTGCAGGCAAACTCATGCTACAAAAAGGAGAAAAACTGAAGTCCAGTTTTCAGTTTCCTGAAACAAAGCTTGAGTTTCACTTTTCAGTTTCCTTCACAATCTATTCATTAGCTCAGAAACATCTTGGTAAAGGAAGCCTCACTTTTCTCTTTCCCATTCAAACTTAATTTGCTGATGCTGGGCAAAGTTCAAGTAGTATTTCCCTTCATAATTTTATTTCACTTGATGTCTCTGTTGCCTATGATAATTGTTTAGTGGTAGGAACAGTGGCCCCCTTAGAATCAATAGAGTATTCCCAATAAAAAAATTATTTCTGGCGAAGCGCAGGAGCTCATGCCTCTAATCCCAGCACTTTGGGAAGCAGAGGCGAGAGGATTGCCTGAGCTCAGGGGTTCAAGACCAGCCTGGGCAACTTGGCGAGACCTTGTTTCTTCAGTCAATCAATATGGTTCCAGTTACTTGGAAGGCTGAGATGGAAGTATCACCTGAGCCCAGCAGGTTGAGACTGTGGTAGCCATGAGTGTGCCACAGCATTCCAGTTTGGGTGACAGAGTGAGACTCCGACTCAAAAAAAAAAAAATTTCTACTGCTACTAGTAATAATTAACATTTACTGAGAACGTTACATGTTTCAGATACTATACTAAGCATTTTATAAACATTTCATCTTCATAAAAACCCAGAAACTAAGCCTTAGAGAAGTATATAACTCGGCCAAGGTTATATAATGAAGAAGTGACCAAGCCAAGATTTGAACTAGATCTCTTTGGCTCTGAAACTCATGTTCTGTCTATTGTTTGGTACTGGCAAGAGATTAGAAGCAATGAGCTCATCTTTTTGACCCTCTGAGTTCCAGCTTGTGAGGATTAAATGAGATACTGTATGTATTTATTCTCTAGCATGTATCAGGTACTCAGCAAATGTTTATTTTCCCTTTTACATCCTTTGGGAAAATAGTATTTTCACAATTTATTCAGAAACAATAAGCTTTCATTTATTATACAACTTAGTAGGAAACCTTTTTTCTCTTCAAATAAAACCTGAGTTTTTTAGTTGTTTTGGAGAATAAGAGCATGTTCTGTTTTGTCCTGTTGGGTTTCCTTGCCCCTTCATTCTTGTGCTTACCTAATATTCCATTGTGTTTAGGGCCTATGGATGGAGAATTACCACCAAGAACTAGAAATCAGGCCGGTAACTCACCAGCAAATGCTCTCAGAGGAGGAGCCTACCATCCTGGAAGGCATCCTAGGGCCAACAGCCATCCTGTTCCTTACCGGCAAAGGGAAGAGAGATTTAGGGCCATGGGCAGGAACCCACATCAGGGAAGGAGGAATCAGGAGGGACATGCCAGCAATGAAGCTAGAGGCCAAAGGCATGATCAGGGGAATGACACTGGACAGAAAAATGGCAACGAGGAGGGTAGGAATCGCAGACCACCATGGTCCAACGAAAACTTCCAGCAGTGGCGGACTCCCCACCAGAAGCCTATAGAACAGCCACAGCAGGTGAAGAAACTGGGCTACAAGTTCTTAGAAAGTCTTCTGCAGAAAGACCCATCTGAGGTTGTCATCACACTTGCAACAAGTTTAGGACTAAAAGAGCTCCTGTCTCATTCTGCCATGAAATCTAACTTCCTTGAGCTCATCTGTCAAGTTCTTCGGAAGGCTTGCAGCTCCAAAATGGACCGCCAAAGCATTCTCCATGTCCTGGGCATACTGAAGAACTCCAAATTCCTCAAAGTCTGCCTCCCTGCTTATGTGGTAGGGATGATCACTCAACCCATCCCTGACATTCGAAACCAGTATCCAGAACACATAAGCAATATCATCTCCCTCCTCCAGGACCTCGTAAGTGTCTTCCCCGCCAGCTCTGTGCAGGAAACTTCCATGCTCATTTCCCTCCTGCCGGCATCTCTTAATGCTCTGAGAGCCTCTGGTGTTGACATAGAAGAGGAGACAGAGAAGAACCTGGAAAAGGTACAGACCATCATTGAACATCTACAGGAAAAGAGGCGAGAGGGCACCTTGAGAGTGGATACCTACACCCTAGTTCAACCTGAGGGAGAAGACCATGTCGAGAGCTACCGGACCATGCCCATATACCCAACCTACAATGAAGTGCACTTGGATGAGAGGCCCTTCCTTCGCCCCAACGTAATTTCTGGAAAATATGACAGCACTGCTATCTATCTGGATACCCATTTCCGACTCCTGCGAGAAGATTTTGTCAGACCTCTACGGGAAGGCATTTTGGAACTTCTCCAAAGCTTCGAAGACCAGTGCCTGAGGAAGAGGAAGTTTGATGACATCCGAATCTACTTTGATACCAGGATTATCACTCCTGTGTGTTCATCATCGGGCATTGTCTACAAAGTGCAGTTTGACACAAAACCACTGAAGTTTGTTCGCTGGCAGAATTCTAAGCGATTGCTCTATGGGTCTTTGGTGTGCATGTCCAAGGACAACTTTGAGACGTTTCTTTTTGCCACTGTGTCTAACCGGGAACAGGAAGATCTCTGCCGAGGAATTGTCCAGCTCTGCTTCAATGAGCAGAGTCAACAGCTGCTAGCAGAGGTCCAGCCCTCTGACTCTTTCCTCATGGTGGAAACAACTGCATACTTTGAGGCCTACAGACACGTCCTGGAAGGACTCCAAGAGGTCCAGGAGGAAGATGTCCCCTTTCAGAGGAACATCGTGGAGTGTGACACTCAAGTGATGGAGCCAAGATACTTGCTAATGGGGGGCAGATATGATTTTACCCCCTTAATAGAGAATCCTTCAGCCACTGGCGAATTTCTGAGGAGTATCAAGGGCTTGAGACATCCAAGAATTAATGTCTTAGACCCTACCCAGTGGCCCTCAAAAGAGGCCCTGAAGCTGGATGACTCCCAGATGGAAGCCTTGCAGTTTGCTCTCACAAGGGAACTGGCTATTATTCAAGGACCTCCTGGAACAGGTAAGACAGTTATTTTTTCAGAGCGTTTGACATCTGTCCTATGAGGTAGGCAAGAAGGACTTGATTCTATGTTTCTAGAATGTCTCATTTAGAAATATTCCCTGCCAGGCCCAGTGGCTCATGCCTATAATCCCAGTACTTTGGGAGGCCGAAGTTAGAGGATTGCCTGAGCTCACAGGTTCAAGACCAGCCTGGGCAACTTGGCAAGATCTCATCTCTACAATAAATCAAAAAATTAGCTGGGCATGGTGGCACGTACCTGTCGTTCCAGGAAGACTTGGAAGACTGAGGCAGGATTACCTGAGCCAAGCAGGACCGAGGCTGCAGTGCCGTGAGCGTGCCACTGCACTCCAGCCTCGGTGACAGAGTGAGACTCCGACCCCCCAAAAAAGAAGAAATAAATAGTCCCCTGAAATGAGCATAAAAGTTGTTTATAAAGTAGCTGCTCATGGTGATTTTCCAATGGTGACCCACTGTTGTGCATATTAATAAACCAAAATCACAAGATTAGAAAAGACTGCTAGAGGTCAAATTTGCCACTGAGGTTGGAAGCAACATATATGTCATCAATAGGGAACTGACTAAAAAACCTTATAGCTATAAAAAAACAGAGGATTATTTTTATGTACTGATAGAGAACTACCTCTGAGATACATTAAGTAAAAAAAATCAAGATGTAGTACAGTAGAAACATAGTCTATATTTTCTACAGACTACTCTTCTACTATTTGTATTTTAAAAATAAAAGGGGAAAGGCTAGAAAATATACATATTCATATTTGTATATGCATAAAAAGACTGTAGATATACATACACAAGAAAGTTGTACAAGAAACTGGTAACATTGGTTGCTTCCAGTCAGAGGAACTGGGTGACTAGGGAATAGAAGTACAAAGGGAACTTTTCACAATATACCCATTTGTGCTTCATGGATTGTAAACCATCTCAATGTATTGCCTTAAAGTTAAAAAAAAAAAAGACATTTTGCTCTAAGTAATTAATTACTCCACTTAGAAAGTCTCTAGGCCTGGGATGGTGGCTTATGCCTACAATTCCAGTACTTTGGAAGGCTGGGGCAAGAGGATTGCTTGAGCCCAGGAGTTCAAGGCCAGTCTGGGCAACATAGTGAGACCTCTTCTCTACAATAAAAAAAAGTAGCTGGGCATGGTGGCACATGACTGTAGTCTCAGCTATTCAGGAGGCTGAAGCGGGAGGATCGCCTGAGCCCAGGAGGTCAAGGTTGTGATGAGTCATGATTGTGCCACTGCATTCCAACCTAGGTGACAGAGTGAGACCCTGGCTCGAAAGAAAGAAAATCTAAATTTTTTAACTCCTTTTTCCTTATTTTCTAGGCAAAACTTATGTGGGTCTAAAAATTGTCCAGGCCCTTCTAACCAACGAGTCTGTTTGGCAAATTAGCCTCCAGAGATTTCCCATCTTGGTTGTGTGTTACACTAATCATGCTCTGGACCAGTTTCTGGAAGGTAATGACGAGACAAACTTGTTTTCTATCAAGGTGTTTATGGTTGAACCATTGGCGACTGCAGTAGCTTTCTGTTGCTCTTTGAATCAAGTCCATAGTCCCACGTCACTGCAAGGTCGTGTGTGATCTGTCCCAGCTGGACTCTGAACTGCCTCTCCTACTTCTTCCCTCGTCCTCCCTAAGTCTAGCAGCACTGGTTGTCTTCAGTTCCCTGAATTCCTCTGACTTCTCTGTTGGCCCATGCTGTACCCTTGCCTGGAATGTACTTTCCTGTCTCCCTCTCTCTTCATCTTGAGCTCATCCAGCCTGGACGGCTCCAACTTATTCTTCTGGTCTCACCAAAATAGCTCTTCTTCAGGTGAACTTTCCCTATTGCCTCAAACAAAATTAAGTCTCTTTTGTGTTTTCTCTTTTTTGTAATCTGTTTTATGTGTCTCTATCCTAGACACAAATACTGTGAGGGCTGGTCCTTTTCTTGCTGCAGTCACACATCCTGGCACATATTAGGTACTCAAAAAACACTAATTGCATGAATGAATAAATATGTGCTTTTCCTTTTGCCTAAACTATTGTTTTCCATTCTTCTATACTGCCCTTTCGCCTAGATAAATCTTTAAAGTCTGAATTTTAAATTATATCCTCAAGAATAGATCCCTGCCCCTCCCCAGCTAGGTAAGGTTCCCTGCTGTCCACTAATATAGTCCTTACCACACTTATCGCTGTTGTGCTAATTGTTTAATGGGTGCCGTACTTTGTGCTGGGCCCTAACTAGGAGCTATAAAGATATTCTTTCAAAGGCGGGCGGAAGATTGGGAGGCTGAGATGAGTGAATTACCTGAGCCCACGGGTTCGAGACCCGCCTGGGCAGCAAAACCTCATCTCTACAATAAATCAAAAAATCAGCCGGGCGTGGTAGCGCATGCCTGTAATTCCGGCTACTTGGAAGGCTGAGGCGGAAGGCTCACTGGAGCCCAGCAGGTCGAGGCTGCGGTGGCCGGGAGCGGCCACTGCACTCCAGTTTGGGTGACAGAGTGAGACTCCAACTCAAAAAAAAAAAAAGATATTCTTTCACTATCCAGATTGTAGGCCTATAAGGAATATAATGCTGTCTCCAAATCATAGATGAAGAGACTGAAACTCAAATGACTTGCCACGGGTTGCACACCAATAAGTAGTAGAGGCAAGATTTGTGACCCTGGTTGTCTGATTCCAGAGCCTGTGCTCTTAAGCGCTACACTACTGCTCTGCAGGTCACGTCTTCTCTGAGGCCTCCTCACTCATTAAAGGGATAATTTTCCTGTAAGCACATTTGTTCCCTAAGGGACCAACCAAAACATGATCCCAAACACACACAGCTCTCCTCTGAGAGAATCCAGCCTAGCTCCTCTCAACTCTGCCGTGCTCCACTTTACTCCAAAGGCATCTACAAGTGTCAGAAGCCCAGCATCGTGCGCGTAGGTGGACGGAGCAGCAGTGAAATCCTGAAGCAGTTCACCCTGAGGGAGCTGAGGAACAAGCGGGAGTTCCGCCGCAACCTCCCCATGCACCTCCGGAGGGCCTACATGAGTGTAAGTCCCAGCTCTGAAGTATCTGAGACAACTCAGGGGTACCTCAACAAGACAGCAGTGTCGTTCTGGGTGGGAAGTCCAGGGCAGAAATGGAGACTCCTCCAAGCTCTGAAGGATCCAGGTTCCTTTCAGCATTCCATCCTGCTAATTCCTTGGTGTGACCTTTGCCTCACAATCCAACGTGGAGAAAACACAAAGACCTCCCCACTCCTGCCAGGACCTTAAGGCTCCTTCCCCCAGCCCCCCCATAGCACTTCCACTCAGAGCCCACTGACCAGGGAAATGTTATCTTTTAGCCGGACAGCAATGCGCCCAACCAAAATCTTATCACTAAGGAAAAGAGAGAGAACAGACACTGTGAGTCTTGAAGTCTCTGCCCCAAAAGCCTTGACCTGTTTTTCTGCCGTATTGGTTAAGCATCCCACATCTGAAAATCCGAAATCCAAAATTTTCTGAGTGCCAACATGGTACTCAAAGGAAATGCTCACTGGAATATTTCAGAGTTTGGATTTTCAGATTTGGAATGCCCAGCCAATAAGTACAAAGGCAAAATTCCCAAATCAAAAAAAATCCAAAACCTGAAACATTTCTGGTCCCAAGCATTTTGGATGAGGGCTATGCTGCCGGTATTACCTGACTGTATTATTCTTACTGACTGCTGGGAGTCCTTCAGACATTTTGGATACCAATCTTTTTGTTTCAAGACCACAGTAATGTGCCCTGGGAAACTGGTTTGTTGACTAGTCTATTTATTCTCCAGTCTTGCTGTTCCTGTCTTAGCTTTGTTTTCCCTCAAGACGGGCTGAGTATGGAGATGATGATAATTCCTTATCCTTCTCTCTGTTCTTGGCAGATCATGACACAAATGAAGGAGTCAGAGCAAGAGCTTCACGAAGGAGCACAGACCCTGGAGTGCACCATGCACGGCGTCCTGCGGGAACAGCACTTGGAGAAGTACATCTCCCCCAAGCACTGGGAAAGCCTCATGAATGGGCCCGTGCAGGTAGGGTCCTCCAGAGGCACAGTATTTAGAAGGAACTTCCAGCAGAGCAGCAACCCAGAGCTTTTTGGTAATCTGGTACTGGTGCAAAGTTCCCTTTCATGATGAGAGGTAGCTGGGTTACACTGGTCAGGAACAAGACTCCGAACCATCCTGCTGGGTTTGAATCTTAGCTTTGCTCTGGGCAAGTGGATAATAATAAGCATTAAGTTGAACCATATGAAATTGCCAGTATTTGTAAATTTGACTCACAAAAATGACAATTTTTTATAGATCCACTTAATTATTACAAGATTGTTAATATTTGCAAACCTTTTAATTTAACAAGTGTGTTGTGTTTGTTAAATGAAATAAACAAAAACATAACCAGAGGCAATCTAGCATGTGTAGAGACCTTGGGAGTTGATAGACCTGGTCAGGTAGACTGACCATGTGACTTGGGCCAGTGTGATCCTCAGCAGTCAAACAGATAATGATAATGCCTACCTTCAGAAGATATTGTGAGAAGCAACTGAGACAATCTCTGTAAAGTGGCTGGCCAGGAACCCAGAGAAATAGCTCTGTTATCATTGGATTGGTGATTCCCAGAGTTCCACATCCGGAAGCTTAAAGAGGTCCATCAGGTCTTAGAAATGAGCAATGCTGTCTAGATGGGAAGCACAGGAAGTGTAGAGGGCCTGTGGCACACTGGAAGAAGGATGGCAACAGCCAGGTCCAGCCATTTGCTGCCATTCTGCAGTATAGGCACATTGTTGCCCTGGCTCCTGATTTTGTCCAGAGAGACTAGAAATTTTGACTTAAAATTCTATGCAGGTTTGTTAACTGCCCCAGTTGTCCAAGGGATTCCAGTTTGCAACCTCTGAATTTTATTTTACTTTTTTATTTTTACTTATTTATTATTTTTTTTTAGTTGGAGTCTAAAAAAAATACCCAGAGTGGAACGTCTGATTTTTTTTTTTTTTTTTTGAGTTGGAGTCTTACTCTGTCACCCAGGCAGGAGTGCAGTAGCATGCTCACAGCCACCACAGCCTCAACCTGCTAGGTTCAGGTGATCCTTCCACTTCAGCCTTCCAAGTGGCTGGAACTACAGGCACGCACAACCATGCCCGGCTAGTTTTTTTTTTTTTTTTTAATTGTAGAGATGAGGTCTCTCCAAGTTGCCCAGGCTGGTCTTGAACCCGTGGGCGCAGGCAGTCCTTTCACCTAGGCCTCCCAAAGTGCATGAGCCACTGCTCCTGACTGGAACCTCTGAATCTCAAGGGAATTACATTTGATCCTTTGGAAAACCTGCTTTCACACTGCTAGTCATGGAATCCTCATGAATGACAATTCTTCCTTCCTCAGGACAGCGAATGGGTTTACTTCCAACGCTACAAGCATTCCATGATGCTAGAGTGGCTGGGTCTTGGTGTCGGTTCCTTCACCCAAAGTGTCCCTTCAGCAGGACCTGAGAATACAGGTAAGCAGTGCAAGTCTTCCTAGAATCACACCTTCAGGTAGAATATGTCAGGTAGAATAGACTAAAATAGCAGGACGTAAAAGTAATTCCCCAACCGGGCTCGATGGCTCAGCCTGTAATCCCGCTCCTTGGGAGGCTGAGGTGAGTGGATTGCCTGAGCCCGCGGGTTTGAGACCTGCCTGGGCAACTTGGCGAGACTTCATCTCTACAATAAATCAAAAAATTAGCCGGGCATGGTAGCGTGCGCCTGTAGTTCCAGCTACTTGGAAGGCTGAGGTGGAAGGACCACCAGAACCCAGCAGGTCGAGGCTGCAGTGACCGGGAACGGCCACTGCACTCCAGTCTGGGCGACTGAGTGAGACTCCAACTCAAAAAAAAAAAAAAAAGTAATTCCCCTATAAATGAATTAGAGAAAGAAAAATAGCTTAATATAAAGAAAATAGGTAAGACTGGGCAGGCTCGTTGACTCATGCCTGTAATCCCAGCACCTTGGGAAGCAGAGATAAGAGGATTGCCTTAGTCCACAGGTTGAAGACCAGCCTGGGCAACATGGCGAGACTTCGTCTCTACAATAAGTAAAAATAAATTAGCTGGGCATGGTGGTACACACCTGTAGTTCTAGCTATTCGGAAGACTGAGGTACAAGTATCGCCTGAGCCCAGCAGGTCGAGGCTACAGTGGTCATGAGCATGCCACTGCTCTCCAGCCTGAGCAACAGAGTGAGACTTTGACTCAAAAGAAAAAAAAGAAAAGAAAATAGATAAGAATCTATCATAGCAGAAAAACAAAACTCTAATGTCCATCAACATTTTTACAATGGATGGATTGATTACAGTCTACTCAGATAACGAAATACTATACAGCAATGAAAAGGAATGATCATAGCATACTGCCACATAAATCTCAAAAATGTGCTGAGTGGAAATGTCCAGTTATGGAAAAATAAATACACTAGACAATTTTTCTTTAGAGAGAGAGAGTATATATGTGGTAGCATTATTTATTTATTTATTTATTTATTTATTTATTTATTTTGAGTTGGAGTCTCACTCTCTCACCCAGGCTGGAGTGCATTTTTTAATTTATTGTAGAGATGAGGTCTCATCAAGTTGCTCAGGCTGGTCTCAAACCCGTGGTCTCAGGCAGTCCTCTCACCTTGGTTTCCCAAAGTGCAGGAATTATAGGCGTGAGCCACCGCGCCCAGTTGCATTTTTTTTTTTAAGAGGGGAATGAGTAATGGAAAATTCAGGTTTGAAGGCCCACAAAGGTCTTCACAAATTTTGATAGTCTTCTACTTCTTAAATTGAGTAAAAGGTACCTGGATATTCATTTCATGTATTTTTGTTATCCTTTAAATTGCATATTACATTGTATTATTCGCCCTCCTTTGTGTGTGTCTTTGATATAAGTAAAACCTTTCTTGACAAGGCAGACATTCATATGATTTTTAAAATGTAAAACATGTAACAAAGAATATATCAGGAGACGTGAGCCTTCCTTCCCTACCTCTCCTCTCATTCCTCCTGGTTTTCCTTCTCAGAGATGACCACTAAAACCCTTGAGAATATCTGTATGCAGCTGAGCCCTTGCAGGTGCCCTCTTCTGTCCCTTAGCTTCTAGAGTTTCCGTCTCTGTCCTGCCTGTTTTCCTTTCTTAGCCCAGGCAGAAGGGGAGGAGGAGGAAGAAGGAGAGGAAGAGGGCTCACTGATTGAGATCGCGGAGGAAGCTGACCTGATTCAAGCAGACCGGGTGATTGAGGAGGAAGAGGTGGTGAGGCCTCGACGGTGGAAGAAGGAGGAGAATGGGGCAGACCAGGAGCTGGCTAAAATACTTCTGGCCCTGAGGCTAGACCACTATAGCCCTGGAACAGCAGCTGGGCAGAAGCAAGCCACAGGAGAGTGGGAGGTAAACCTGCTTGCTTGGAGCCCCTGAAAGCCCAAGTAGAATGGCAAACTGGAGTTCAGTTGTTACTGTCCCTTAGGTGTGGGTTAGACTCTGTTGGAACGGGTCTGAGAGAGTTCTGACCATTTCTGTTTTCTCCCACTTCTAATCAAGTATAGTCATGCCATCCTTACAACTACCTAATGTACCCATGTTATAACCTATTCTTGTAAAGATGGGTCTAATTCCCAAGGGTATAAAAAGCTTGGCCAGGCTTGGTGGCTCAACCTATAATCCCAGCACTTGAGACCTTGTCTCTACAAGAAATCAAAAACTAGCTGGGCATGGTAGTGTGCACCTATAGTTCCGGCTACTTGGAAGACTGAGGCAGAAGGATTGCTGGAGTCTAGCAGGTCAACCCTGGGGTGGCCATGAATGCGCCACTGCACTCCAGCCTGGGCAATGGAGTGAGACTCCAACTGAAAAAAAAACAACCAACTTCATCTCTTCAGGGGGGCCCTGGCAAGAAATGCCAGGAAACAGGTAGCCAGGTGCTTCTCTAGAACTTTTAGAAGAATGCAGCCTATGTGAGTCAGGTCAGATATTTAGGGTCTCAGTGCTTTATGCCTCCAGGAATGTTATCTTCTCTACCTCAAATGAGTCTGTGAACACACATTAAGATTTTAGAGGACTCAAGCAAAACAGAGAGGCAAGCCCACCAAGCAGGATAGAAGACATCCTTCATTTGCCCTGGAATTTGACACTTTTCTTAAGCCAGAATCATATGGATGCCCAGATGTTTTCATGTAGACTCTCACTCTGCTTCTTCTTTTGGGCAAGCCCAGTGGTCCTCAGAATTTATCATGCATTACTAAGACGATAAAAGACTAGATACTCAAAATAACCATTTGTAAACCCTACTGATGAATTTAGACCTTTCAAGGACAGCTTTGGAAACAGTTTTCACCTGCCTACTGGCTTTGCACCTGATCTAGTTCAGTTCAGCATCACTATATGTGGTGAGCGGAGTCATGATCTCAATCTTTGGAAGCAAGGATTGGGCATCTCTCTGCCATGTGGCATCAGAAGGGGTTGGTTTGATGGTTTTTAAAGTTGGGGGAAGTCTTTAATGTGGTGACATCTGTCTCACTTGCCAGTCCTAGAAGGTTTATGGCTTCAGGCTCAGTGACAGAGCCTGAGGAGAGTACTTCTTATAAACAGTGCCTTTCGCCCACTTGTTAAGGGTACCATCTTGACAGGATGGCATTAGGACCATTTAGCAGGCACTGTGCCAGGTCCTGCCCTAAGCTCCTTGTTGCTAGGCACTGGTAATACAACATTCAACAAGAGAGACTCGCCCCACGACTTTGATGATATACATTTTAGGAATGAGAAACAGACTATAGTCAAAGATGTATAATGGTAACTAGTGCTACCACCCTTTTAAGTGTTTTCCATGTATTTACTCCTTCTGTCAAACCAACACTCCTAAGAAGAAGTTCTTCATAGGATTCCCGGTTATAGAGGGGATGCTGAAGGACACAGGTTAAATAACTCACCCTAGGTCCTGCAACCTAATAAGAGGTAGACTGGGGCTTTGAACCCAGACCAACGGGCTCCAGAGTCCTTGTTTAGCACTTGACAATAGAATAGTTGCTGAGAGTATGTGAGACACTCTGAGTTCATCAGAGATTTTCTGATTATCAGCCCCTTATGTGCTGTGGCCCCCACTTGAGCTTAGAACCAGGCCTGCCTGTCCTTAGACAGTACCCTGCCTGGTATTGATGTCTGTAGACTCAGCGCAACCAGAAAAAGAAAATGAAGAAGAAAGTGAAGGTTGAGCTCCGCAAGCTGAACACCATGACCGAGGCCGAGGCCAGTGAGATCCAGGACGTTTGGCAGCTGGACCTCAATTCTCGATGGCAACTTTATAGGTACTGTGTCCCACACCAGCCCATGTAATTTCCCCAGAGTTTCTTTCTGTTCCTAGAACATTGTTCACCCCCAAGAACTTCAACATTGTTAACTAATTCTTGATTGAGCCCTACCACTGAGCTGTGCACTGGGGATGCAGCCATGGGATAGTGCAGATACTTGCTCTACCTTCCTGGAGCTTAGAGGGAGACAGATTAGTCACATAATTCCACAAATAAGAAGTTACAAATAGGCACAACTATTATGAAATTAAAACAGAGCATGCTAAGAATAGGATGTAGGCTCTGAGCTAGTCTGAAGTCTCCAGGAAGGACGTTGGAGGCAAGATCAGAATGATGAGCAGGACTTTCAAGGCCCGTGGGAAAGGGGGAGCAGATGAGGTTGCAGGGGCCGCAAAGGTAAGGCCTTGAAGTAGGAGGGAGTCGACACAACCAGGGTGCAGACAGCCAGTACGGTCAGAGGAGTCAGCAGGGGCCAACTTGGGCAGGGCCTCATATAGCTAAGGTGAGGAGCACGGGTTCTGTGTGAGGAATAGCAGAAAGCCATTGAGATGTCTTACAGCAAGTAGCGACATCATCTGTTTGATTTGTAAAACAAGTAATCTGCAGAGAATTTGGGGAGAGGAGAGGACTCAGGCAGAGGTGATGCAGGGAGAAGTTACAAGAAATTCTTCCTGAAGCTTTTGAATTCCCTTATTCTCCTCCCAATAGTAACCTTGTTCTTTATCCCACTCCTTGCCTTAGCCCCTGACCCCTCTGCACATCCTTCTTGTTCAATATTTTGGATTCTTGAATCCCTGTACATCTGATGTGCTATCTCTCTCTGTGTGTCGCTCAGTCTCCCTCCCTCCCTTCCCCT